GACCACATGGTTCCCAGGAAAAAGTGTCATTAAACACCGTCCATCACTACATCCACAAATGCAAATTAAGACTAATACTATACACAGCAGTCATATGTCAACAGTGTTCAGAACCACTGCCGACTTTTCTGGGCTTGAGAAATGAACTGATGCACAGTGAAAACATGTACTGTGGTCTGATGAGTAAACTTTTCAAATTATTTATGGAAATAACAGACATTATGTTTTCCAGGCCAAATAAGAAAAGGACCATCCAGATTATAAAGTTCTAAAGCCTGGGTCTGTCATGGTATGGGTGGTATTAGTGGGTAACCTGCACGTCTATGAGGGGGCCATTAACACTGAACATCTTTTGGAGCTACATAAGCAGCCTTATCTTCATATATGCTTATATGCAGGATCATCCATGTTTATTTCAACATTACAACACCAAGCTACTTTCTGCGTCTGTTGCAACTGCATGGTTGCATAATCAAAAAGTGTGGGTGACACTGACCTGTCTGCAGTCCAGAACAGTCTACCACTGGAAACGTGTGTCGTATTAGGCCCCAGTAAGTCAACAAAGGTCCTGTACAGTTGAACTACTGAAAACTTTCCAACAGAAGAATGGCAAAAAAATTACACTTTCAAAACGACCAAATTTGCATTTTATTAATTAATTGTTGTTAAAAGAAACATAGTGGTAAATATGCTTCCGTCCCAACGTTTCTTAAACATATTGCTGGCCTCAAACCTGGAATGGGTGTATATTTACAAAAAACAATTAAGTTCATAATGTAAAACATAAAATATCGTGTTTTTGTACCATTTGCAATTTATTACAGGCCATACAGAATTTAATATATTCACTGTTTTCTGTTTTCATTATTATTTCAAATGCTGTCACTACTTTTTGTATATACTAACATGCTTGGTAGTTTACCACATCAGTTTCCTTTTTTTATGATCCATTGTAAATGCTTTTCAGCTCACCTTGCCTTTAACTGACATTCAAATTCTTATCTAATAAATTCAATATACAGTACTGTGCAGTAGTCAGAGAGCAATTTTAATTTATTTAACTTCGAGGCAGGAGGCCCTGTAAGTAGAAGTTATTCATTTCTCAGAAGACATTTCAGAGGAAGATAATCTGCTTGTATTAAGAAGGGGAAAGTCTACAGAAATTAAGTCTAATTAAAAAAATCAAAACTGGAGTTAAAAAACTATGAAAAGATATTGAATAAATGGGGCTTCTAATAATCGTGCAAAACCTGGTACACCACCAAAATTGTCAGCATCAGATAAACAGCACTTAAAGCTTGTATGGTTGCGGCTTTACTCTGGTTTAGTGTGTTTTCGTGGTGTACCAAAGGGTGCAGAAGCTCAAGCCCCGTGAGGTCTCTCTGTGCATGTGCCTGAAGGTATCTGTAATCTGATTACTGTCTTTTTTCTGTAACTTTAAACTAATACAGTTACCTTGTTTTGTATCCTGGTAATGCATTTATTTATTTGTTTATATGATAAACATAACATTAAAACAACAAGTTCATTTTAAGCTTTATCCTGTTCTCACCTATCAATATATAAAATCACTTTGGACTTTAAAATCTAACTAATATTTTTGGTTTTATATATGTTATTATGAATGTGTTTGTGTGTGTGTGTGTGTGTGTGTGTGTGTGTGTGTGTGTGTGTGTGTGTGAAAGATGAGAGATATACTGCCTATAGCAGGTTCTATAAGAGAGACCTGTCTTTGATACAAACCCTATGTATTGCAAAGTCAGTGGTTATTAAACAGAAGTAAAACTTTACTGAAGTTAGTGGTTCTTTTTTTATTTTTGCCAAATAGTTTGATGAGGCATAAATTGTGTTTTATTACAGGAACACAGGCTGTAATTTTAGAATTTTATATGACTAAATTATCCTTTTTAATAGTTAATCTGCACATTTGATTGGACGGTTGAAGTGTCAGTTTTGGACTGGCCAAATAGTCTTAAGTGGAGTCAACTGTTTTTCATTACAAAGACAGTATCTTAGTTAAAAATAATTTGTATATGATTAAATGATCCTTTTTAATAGTTAATTTCATTACATATGTATGGTTGACTAGTATCACCAACTGTCATTTTTGGATTGGCCAAATGGCCTGAGGTAGTTGTTTTTCATTACAGGGACATACAGGGCTTAGTTAAAAATGAATTTTATATGACTAAATTGTCCTTCTAATACTTTACTTAAGCTGGATTTTTGGTTGCAGGGTCACACCAATTGTTTAGGCTGTTTTGTTCTTTGTCCATAATTAGTAATTCATACTGTATCTCCTATTTATCAGTATTACCAGTCTTTATACTCTATTTAGTCTGTTTTCCTACTTTTATTTAGCCTACCTTTTTTACAGTGTGCTGTACAGGAGCAGTTTTTGTTTTGCTACCTGTGATAAACTGAAGTGTGCTAAAGATATGGCCTCAGTATTATTTCACAAGAAATATTATATAATAGGATTATAAGAGATGTAATAGAAAAGATATACAAGATTACGATGCTGAATTATGATCATTAGAAGTTTTTAGGGTAAACAAAATAGAAGCCCTGACAAAGTACTGCTTCAAACAGCACAAATGAGCAGTGTTTTTTGAGAAACACTGACCTTATGCATGCCACAATATTTCATATTTCAAATTTATTTGGCTGAATTCACTGAACATAAGGGGGTGTTTTTCACACTTAGAGCATTCCAGGTCTCAGTCATAGTTTAGCACATCAAAAAACTCTAAACAGTCCCAAAAAATGAGGTGGTCTCAGTACAGTTCACTTGTAGTTCATTTCATGGTCTGTTTTTTTTTTGCGCTCTGTGAAACAAAACAGCGTCAATGTGCCTTATCTGAGGCTTCCGTACGTACAGAGTCACAAGCCTGCTAAATAAAAAATTTCATCAGTGCTAAAGAGGACCAGAAAGAGAACTTCCATTATGAACGCAAAAGTAGCTGGTTCCGTTTCAGGTTCACTTTAACAGAAGTGAGTCTGGTACATTTAAAAATAACTGAATGTGAAAATTCTCTTGAACTCCCTCCTTCCTCAGTTGAGCTTCCCTCACAGACTCCAGAAATGCTTAACGGAGCATAAATAAGGGGTCATGTGGTTTCTTAAGACTGGTACTACACTATCTCTGCAGGCCCTCTTCTTGAGACTGGTTATGGGCTGGGTAGTTGAGCATGTTGCTGGTTAGGGTGGTTGAACTAGGGTGCTATTCAGAGTGCCTTGTTTACACTGCAGGGTAAATCAGATCTGTGACTTATCCAGAATTCAAGTGACCAATTCTGATTTGTATGATGAGACTGTAGTCTCATTTGCTCATAGTGATGACATACTTGTGAGGGGGGTATTTTGTATGCTGCTCACAAGTCAGAGGCATCACTACAGGTTTATGGATGGGGGCATGGTCCCCAAAGAGAATTTTGAATGGCCCGGAAAGGTCTGTTCATCATGAACTTTTAGAGTAGCAACAACCAGAAAATATATCAAAAATGGGTATTTGGTCAAACTGGCACACAGTAGATCTGTCTCTTTGTAATTTGTATTAAGTACAGAGTTCAAGTGACCAATTCTGATTTGGTCACTTGATTTGGCATGATATAAACACTATATATGTCCACTTACAACATGCACAGATCATGCAAAGGTGCTAAAGTCAAGCAATGCTTTCTCCTCTCTCTTAGATCAGCTGCAGGTCCTAAATATATTATATATTATTCAAATACACAGATTATAGATCAGTTCAGTCTCAGTTAGTACAATCAGAAAGAGTGTGATTTTTCTAATAGGCATGTTTAATAAACCAAGTGACAAAATTTCATGGTCATAGTGACAAATATGTTCTCAGTTAAATTAAATTGTTTAAATTTAAAATTTCCCAGAAACACTCTCTTTGGGGAATTTTCTCCCTCTTTTTTGCAGAACATTTCTAGTTCTGTGATATTCTTAGACTGTCAAGATTTATTTACATTCACGATTTTTACAACTGGCATTGTCACAAAGCAGCTTAACAAAAAATCCAGGGCCAAGTCCCAAATAAGCAAGCCACAGTCGACAGTGGTGAGCAAGACTCTCTAAGAGCAAGAGGAAGAAACCTTGAGATGAACAAAGACTCAAAAGGGGAAGGCATTCTGCTGTGGTCAACACTGGATAGCAAAACAATAATACAAGTGCAATATGAATAAAGGATACTACAACGAAACAAAACAAAAGGATTGTACAACGAATTTAGAATATTGAAAGAAAAAAGCTTCGGCTTGTGTTTCTTGGAGTAGATCATGGTGGATTTTGAGGTGTATTTTGGATCATTGCCTTTTTGTAGAAACCAGCTTTTTTTTAGCTTTATTGCTTCATTCTTCCATCTACCTGTGAAATACTTCGTGTAGAATGGTGCACCATAACCTCTGCGTCAGTTTAACCTTTTGCTGTCATATGGGTGTTTTGCTTTGCCTTTCTGGCCAGCAAATGAGCAGTTTCTATCTGAGAGTTTCCTAGGTCATATAGGCCTTGTGTTTCACAGCTTTCTTAAACTGCCATTTTGTAATAACATTTCTGACAGGGAAATTTGCAAGCTGGAAGTGCTTTATGTTGTGGAATTGTTGTCAGCTGAAGATTAATAATTTGTAACCCATCCTAAAGTCAATTAAGGCCTAATGAGACTTTATAACTGTTTTTATTTATTCAAGTAACTGTGCATTACCATTCGCAGTGCTTTAAATTCGACTGGGGTGCCCAAACTTTTGCATACAACTGTAAGCATTCAAGCACTATCTGCTGATGTTATAGGGCACATTTCCACCCATTGATCCATCATACACTGCATAAGTTCATATACCGTGAGTGAAAAGCATGAGGAAGAAACCCTGATGTAATTCAAGCCTTACAATGGCAACACGTGATGGCAAAAAGTGCTGTTCTGTTTCCACCTACGTCAGTACAGAAGTTTCACAACGTACCACAACTTAACATAAACATGATACATCCTCCAACACACTTCACTGCAAGCCCTGGACTACAGAAGACAACAGAATGGAGATGAATGAGGATGGAAGAGCAAAACATGATATGGCAAATGACACATTTGATTCGGCTACCTCTGACTACAGCTGGGAAAATAACAAGACCACAGCCTCTTATCAGGAACTGAGGAGCTCAGGTGCAGTGTATATACACACACCTACACATTCAGGGATACACCCTAGAGATGTAGCATATTATGTTTCCACACCATGTCAATATGTCAATTCACACAGCACTGACATGTTGTTACGGTACTTTGTAGTACATTTTTATGCCATCTAACTGGTTTGTCACAAACTCATACTGTTTCTTAGAGCTGTAACAATGCATATAAAAATATGATTTCATGATATAAATGTGACTATGCAATGTGGAGAATGGACATCCTGTTAATCATTGCATTGAATAATATAACCATAAACAAAGAGCACCAATCAACAAACCACTCTAGCATGTTCATTACAGAGCTGAGCAACAACATCCCAGTGTTGACAACCAAATTAAACCGTAGGCCAACGGCAGCATTTATTTTCCGGCAGTGTCGGACTTTTAATTGATGTAGGGTTCTGGATTACAGAAGTAATTAATTTAACTGGGAATAACTATGGTGATCACTGTGAAGCTGAAGTTAACACCTTTTCAATTTTCCATTCCACTATAAATGATGCAGTGGTTACATTCAGTTGGAGAATACGACGCTAACTTCAACCTAGTTACATAGGACAAGGCCTTACTCCAAAAGCCAAACTGTGCATAAATGTAGCAGGTAGCTCAGTAGGAAAGCTTTGGCTAGCACGAACTTAAAATGCCATGAAGCTTCATCAGTTTTCATTAATCTATACTTTCAAAACACACTGTCCTGATGTTAAATTATTTTGCTTTTATAATGTAGATGTTTTGTTAAAACATATCTTTATTGCCGTACATTACACACATTCATCCATTTGCACTGCTGGAGAATTGCCATTGTCTGACCTCTTTTTAAGAATAGTGACCAAACTGACCCAAACTGCTACAGGCATATTTCCAACTTATCTTACATTTCCAAGGTTCTGGAGAAACTTGTCAATAAGCAGCTAAATGATTTTCTAAATGACAACAATATTTCATCTGGGATATTGTCAGGCTTTTGGCCAGGTTATGATTGTGGTACTGCTGTTTTAAATTTTGATGTTTATTTTTTTCATGATGTTATGTCAGCTTTAGATGCCCGGCAATATATGTGCTGGGCATTTGGCCCAAAAATACAGGAACCTCAGCAGGTAGCGTTTTATACAAACGTATGCATATGACTGGGTGCCTTCCTGCCTCAGAAAACAGCCTTAGATGGTACTATGCACAACAATTTCTCTCATGGTTGTTTAGCGATGCAACTTATGTTTATTATTGCTGTTTATTGCAGCTGAGGTTTATTGTGTGCAATTGTGCTTTAACTTTACAGTTATGCCTGTTTTTCATCTTCTGTATATGCTTACTCTTGTGTGAATCTTTTCTGTTGCCTTTTGCCACTTCCTGTCCAGAGTTCTGCCTGAAGCAAGTTGGTTTTTGCCTATCTAGTACTTTACAGTGCTTTAAGAGTGAGATAAATCTTTATAAGAGCCTTATTCTGCTCAAAACCTGCAGACTGCTTCTGCGTCTTGAGTGAAAAGGCCACACTATGCTGCATGACTCCTCCATGTATAACATGATTAGCTGTTTGTCATTAACATCATGCATGAGGATTAACTCTTAACATGGGCAGGGCCAGCCGGTGGGCCTAAAATTGTATTACTCACTTCTACAGGGAGTTTCACTCGAAAGAGGCCCTGAATATTCTGTTATAACTCCCGTTAGGATGAAGCAATCTGAACAAGAGCTTCGAACAAGCCAGGATGCCCCTGCGTTGGAGCGATGTGGTAGGACCCGGACAGCCGTCGTGGCGTTTAACCTCCGTTTGCAACTTCCGGGTGCATACCCCCGCACCCCTTCATGTGTCTGGCAGAACACGGAGATCACTTCCAACATTGCATGTAATGCAATCTATCACACATGCGTCACGGTATGTAGCGTATTTTTTTGGCTCAGATTGCTTCATCCTAACGGGAGTTACAACAGAATATTCAGGGCCTCTTTCGAGTGAATCTCCCTATATAACCTATGAGCTATAAAAATAGCTCAACCAGTTTGCATGGAATCCCTGTAGTCAATAAAAGGCATGTAACAAGCCTTGGATTTTAAGGGGTTAAGAGAACAACAGTCTCATAAACAAATTCCTAAAACTGTGACATAAAATATGTGCTCACTGATGAACCCTTCGAATTAGATGCCCTGCTCTTGTACTTGTTCTGTCTCCTGTCTCTTTGTCTGTCTGGGTCCTCAAGCCAGGCCAGGTTCCTGAGCCAGTCCTGCTCATCCTATATTAAAATTCTGTTCACTGTTTTGTTAAATGAATATCGTTCTTTAGGAAGGCAGTGTATAAGAAACATAAACACACAAAGGCCCAATCCCATTTCTTCTTTTTATCCCTACCCCTTGTTTTCAAGTGTCACCCTACTGAGTTACAAGGGGTAGTGGTTAAAATCTTGCCCTCAAATTACATTGCTTCATTAACAGGCTACTAGCAGTGCTCTGTAGGCGACCCAGCCCGTCTTCAGTGATAGCAGAGAAGGGAAAAGTTCAGCAACCTCACTGCTGGGCTTTAGTTACATTTAGGGCATCATATGCTTTCAAACAGGTGTATAAGACAATTATCGCCCACCGCTAATTCTTTGGTGATACGAAGCTGAAGTCAGCTATTCGCCAGCTTCTTGTTCGCATTTTCCCGTTCCACCTTAAATGGTGCAGCAGTAACATACTGGTGCTTCAGGCATCAATACTGCTGGACTATTTAAGGTGGAACGGGAAAGTTAGCTAGCTAGCTACAGAAACATTAGCATGCTATTTTTTTATGCTTGTTATGAAGAAAATGACCAAAATATATTAACACGACATCAAACTAAGATAATATCTTGCCGGTTTTTCTTTTATTCTGATGACAGTTTGTTTGGAGTGAGCCTCTGACAAATCTCCATTTGGAGGGCCATGTAGCCCTAACACTTCACCCTACGCCTCTATCTCAACAAAAATCGGGCAAAACAGAGGGCTAGGGCTAAGTGGTAGGGGCAAGGGGTGAAATGGGATTGGGCCAAAATCTAACTGAATCAGAAGGCAACTCAAATAATATGTTTTTAGGAGAATGATGAAATAGAAAAGAAAGACTTGAGGGCAAATACAAAGACACTGCCTACACCTGGAATCGCGATTGCTGTTTACAAATATCCAAATAAAATAAGGCTAAAGAATCTGTCTCTGGCTCCATTCCCTTCTAGGACGTGACACTGCAGGAAACAGATACTACATCTGGGGATCCTGTGTGTTCTCCTGCTGATTGCCATCACAGTGATGTGTGTGAGGTTTAACCACCTGGCTACTCAGAGAGACCAGCTACAGCAGAGCTACAATGACCTGACTGTGGAGAAAGAGGGACTACAGACCAATAATGAGAACGTTGCTAGAGAGAAAGACCAGTTACAGACCAGTTACACCAGCCTGACCGTAGTGAAAGAACAGTTAGAGCTCAGCTATGGTAATGTTACACACGAAAGGGACCAGTTAAAGAAGGAGAAAGATGAGCTTCAGAACAAGTTGGCTGATATAGGTAAGACACTATTTAGGTGACACTTTATTTTGAGTGGTCCTCTTTAGATGAAATAAACACTCAACAGACTCTCAGTAACATAACAGCAAAATATCAATGATACAGCATCAGTGAATATATTTAGTAGATTATGAAGAGACTTTTAATCAACTGTATAAATAAAATTGATTAATAATTTCCTGAATTCAGTAGTTTTTCACTTTATTTGGAGGGTCCGGATTCATATCTGTAGATGATAATCTGAGATGTCACTGACCACCTAACAGGTTTAATACAGACCATCTCAACATTCTCAACAAGCTATTATAGACATGCTGCTCACACCACTCTGTAAGTGGATTAGGTTTTGATTAGAGGTTAAGGTTGAGGTTAGGATTAGGTTTTGGGTTGTGGTTAAAGTTAGGGTTATGTTTTGGGTTGAGGTTAAGGTTGGGGTTAGGATTAGGGCCAGGGTTAGAGTTAGGATTAGATTTTGGGTTGAGGTGAAGGTTAGGATTAGGGCCAGGATTAGGATTAGGTTTTGGGTTGTGGTTAAGGTTAGTATTAGGGCCAGGGTTAGCGTTAGGATTAGGTTTTGGGTTGAGGTTAGGGTTAGGAATAACGCCAGGGTTAGAGTTAGGATTAGGTTTTGGGTTGAGGTGAAGGTTAGGATTAGAGCCAGGATTAGGATTAGATTTGGGGTGTGGTTAAGGCCAGGGTTAGAGTTAGGATTAGGTTTTGGGTTGAGATTAAGATTAGGGTTAGGATTAGGGCCAGGGTTAGGTTTTTGGTTGTGGTTAAGGTTACGATTAGGATTAGGGCCAGTATGTAGTCTTGTAAAACGTGTCCACACTGTTGCAGTATGACTGCTGTAAGGATTAAATACAGTAACAGCAGTAATATACAGAGTATTATTTACAGTGTACACTAGTGACTAGTACAGTAATGATGTGTAATCTTCATATATGTTGTCTTTGGAAATTCTGTCCATAGAAAAAGAAAAACAGCAAGAATGGAGCCGCTTCGGTTCCAGTCTTTACTACATCTCCAGTAGGAAGAACTGGATTGAGAGCAGACAGGACTGCAGAGAGAGAGGAGCAGACCTGGTGATCATAAACAACAGAGAAGAACAGGTGAGAGAGAGAGAGAGAGAGAGAGAGAGAGAATCACTGTTCAGCACTAACTCTTTATATTGTATCACACTGGCAGGAATTTATCACTAATAAACTGGGCAGCAGTCGAGCTTGGATTGGACTGACTGACACTGACACGGAGGGGGTCTGGAAATGGGTGGACGGATCAGCACTGACCACAGGGTAAGAGACCTCTGAACTGAGCTGTGGTCATGATGCAGTTACTCTCTCTGACTCCTCACTGCTCTAGATCAGATCCTCTGATTCTCTCTTTCAGGTTTTGGAAATCTGGGGAACCCAACAGTTTGGGAAATGAAGACTGTGCTGTAATTGGCCATGAGCTTGGTGCTTTAAGGACCTGGGCTGATTTCCCCTGTCATGATCTCTTTGTTTGGATCTGTGAGAGACCTTTAAATTGAGGCTGTGCAGGAGAACAGACTACAACAATTTTACATGTGCATTTATTCATAGTTACAGCAAGTGGGCTCTGCCATTTTACTTTGGCTCCCACTAGCTTCAGCTCCACCTACTCAAGATTGCACAGCCCACAGCTAGTTGTTGGGCTCATTTACACTACTTTTACAGCAATATACTGCACCATATTAAATAAATAACAGTAGAATAGCAGCTTTGTGCTCCACAGTCACCTGGAGCAGAGGAGTACTATGATGGAGCTGCACTGTAAACATTTACTGAAAAAAGTTACAGTAATATACTGGCAGGAAAGTTATATGTGTATATTTGTGCTAAATATTTTATAGTATTTTACTATATCTAATACAATTTACAGTACTTCACCAGTAATTCTGCTGCCAGTAAATTGCTGTAAATTGTGTTGTCTAGGATTTTACTGTAAACCAGTGCACCACACTAAATGCCCAAACTTTTACAGTACGATCCTGTAACACTTACACAGTAATGAGCTGCGATTAAAATAACGGTAATATTCTGTATTTTGACATAGTAACTGTAACTGAGTAATTACCTAAATAAAACTTCATTGTACCAGACCTATACATATGTGAAAAAAAGACTCAATAAACATATATAGTCACCATGTTTTGCACGGTATATGCACAGAATCTCAAATATGAATTTTTGCAAATACACATTTTTCCGACATTTTAAAATACTTTGAAATGCACATTCTCTATCGTGTCTTACATTCAGTTCTCACCAATCAGAACTGTTTTGTGCCCCTACTGCTGCATTTTACGCTGCTTACCTGTGTCTTATTCTTATTCTTGTCTATTAACTTTACACTCCTATAAATCCACACAACAAACTTATGAGGATTCTACTCTATGTGCACACATAAGTATGTAATATCCAGGAATGAAACTGAATGTATTTGGCTTTTTTAAGTGAGGTATCAGTTTGCATTGATTAAATCAGGTTTATAACTTTATTTCGTCCATTTCAAATTATTAGGACTGAGCATCACTGGTTTCCTTTGCATTTCTAAGCCATTGCTTGTTCTTGTTTTCATCCTTCTTTCCTGTATTTTCTGTTATTTCGAGCTCTTCGTCTGTTTTTGTATTTTTGATTATGAATTTGCCTCGTTTGTTCCTCCCAATCAAATGTTATTCTGAGAAAAGTTTGGAAAAAGAAACTACAAAATAAATTCAATAAAATGAATTGTAATTATTTACTTGGTATGTGTAGTTTAATCTCTTAACTTGCAGCTCTTTGCTTTCTTGGCCCAAGTTTAGCAATATTTCCAGAGCATTTTATTTGTATGATGCATAAGACTCATGTTCCCAAAGCAAATAAATAATAATAGTAGTACAAGCAATGAAAGAGGTATAACTATTCCTCATAGATCTTTCACCAGACAGATCACAAGTCAATGGTATTTCCAATAATTGCAGAACTATGAGTAATAATAATAATAATAATAAATAATAATAATAATAATAATAATAATAATAATAATAATAATACTCTTTATTTATATAGCACGTTTCATGACAGTGGAAACTCAAACTACTTTACAGACAGGAGATAAAGCTTAACAGTAATAGAAGAAATCATAAGCATTGATTTACATCATATAAAAAAAACAGATCAAATTAAAAAGATAAATATCACAACACGAAGAGCTTTAATGAACTCCTAAGTTAAAGAGATACATTTTTAAATGCTTTTTAAAAGTTTTCACTGAGCTTGACTGTCTAATAAAAGGTGAAATTGAGTTCCACAGTTTATAAGTATAATAACTGAAGGAGGCCTCTTCATGTTTTCTGTATTTTACAGAAGGTATTAGCAGAAGGTCAGTATCTGCAGATCTAAGGTTACATGCTGGAATATAAACTGAAAAGACATTCTGTGATGTAAGCAGGTGCTTTAAGGTCATTTAGAGCCTTAAGTAGCAGAGCTTTAAAATTGATTCTGAAAGATACAGGCAGCCAGTGCATCTCTTCTACAGTGGGAGTTTTTGTTTTTATTTTAGTATCAATGATCAGTATTTCCATTATTTTCACTGATATTTTGACATTGATATTTTCCTCATGACATCACCTAGGGGTAGCATATACAAAAAGAAAAGCAAAGGCCCTAAAACTGAACCTTGTGGGACTCCACAAGAAATGTTACATTTTTTCAATGAATGATTTCCCATTGAAACCATGAACTGTCTATTAACTAAACAGGACTTAAACCATTCTGAAACTGTGTGCTACCTAGTATGCAAGACGGTGGATTAGATAAGACCGGAAAAGAAGGCATTTGTGCAACAGTGCTAAGTCTGAGGTCACTCTCAGCATGAACCAATGCTGTCTCAGTACTATGGTTAGAATGAAAACCTTAATGAAACTTCTCATATTAGTTTTTGTTATTAGATACTAGCTAGCTGAATCATGAAAATGCTGCTGTAATGATGGACAATGCCTTGTTTTAATGTAGAAAGCATGTGGGTAGGGCTTTGGAAATCACCAGCAGTCTGAAGTTTCTCTAACAGGGAGCACTATTAGCACGCAAGTCACTGAAAATCTGCGGCAGATAAGGTCCATGAATGCACATTACTTCTATTTGAGTAAAAATCTAAGTCATACTTTAACTTCTACTTGAGCATTTTTTACTAGATTACTAGTACTTTTACTCAAGTGAGGGACTAGTGTACTTCTGCTACCTCTGGAGTGGAGTTTGTGATTCAGAACTAATAATCCAACATCAATACTCGCTAAACTCACTAATGTTCTTGTGGCTGAATGTAAACAAATCCTCACTTCAGTGTTTACCCTTCTAGCCTTGTTACTACAGCAAAGGAGGAACAATCTCACTATTAATACCCTGATTTCAGAAGAAATGTTGGGTAAGCAGATTCTAACTTTTGAACATTTTCCACTGCAGAACCAAATGGGTCCCATGACCATATTGTGCTGTTCAGTTCTTGCTTGGACTCGTGAGACTGGCTGTGGTTGCTTTTTCCATCTGCTGTGCTGCTAAATCTAGACCAGGAAATACAGAAAAAATGCTGTGCATGACAACAGCTACTCACACACCACAGAACACATTTCAATAAGGCTGTCACTCCAACACCTGTCACTTTACACCCTCAAACATGTGTCTTTATCCTCTAAACAAGTGTCATTTAAGCATCAGTTAGCTGGAACTGAGCCTGTACTTTGGTGCGTGTCACTTTTAGCCTGCTAAACCAGCATAGACCAGCATGGCTAATCACCAGCAAAACCAGAATATGTTGTGTTTTGGGTGCTGGTATGCTGATGAACCAGCGTGGCCATGCTGGGGTGACCACCTAAACCAGACCAGCACTAGACCAACAGAGACCAGTTTAGACCAGCATGAAATGCTTGCTGGTCTGCACTGTTTTTTCAGCAGTATTAGCTTAGCTAACAGGCTTCATGTCCAAACACCACACTTGATTAAAACTACATACGATTGGAAAAATATATTAACAAATACAAATAAATGCATTTAAAATATATTTTTAATCAATACATTTTTTGACCATTTTCATACACTGCAACATTATATTTGATAAATACATTTGGAATATATATTTTTTTTTCCCATGTGGGAAAAGCAAACCAGTCAGCGAACAGTGAATCCTTGCGAGAAAAACAAGTGTGGACCAACATGGCTGGTCACCAGCAAAACCAGCATATGTTGTGTTTTGGATGCTGGTCAACCAGGCTGACCATACTGGGTGTCCAGCTAAACCAGCATAGTTTTTTCCGCAGGGATGTCAGCCATCTCTCTTGAACAGTTCTGTGGCCCTGAGCATGATCAGCTAACAATGCCAGGAAAACTATCACACTGAGCATAGTGATGAGGAGTCAACTCCAAAAGAGTTAATTTTATAACTCCAGCATGTCTGTGAGTTGAAGTGGACTAATATCTAATGTGTCTGAGAGTCAAAATGCTTGGAGGCACCTCTTGAACTCTGTTGTCTCCATGTTATTTCAAACATACGGACATGATTAGCTCATGGGAGTTCTGAAGTTTATTGATTACCAAAGAAGCCTGGCTGTTTTGATGGCATGTAGAATTCAGTGCACAGCTTGTGTTTCTGTAGCATTTTGTTTAATTTTGAGGCTGGCGAGCGTGTCAGAGCACTGCCTTCCGAGCCTAATTGAGTCCTTCTGTCTATAACTTGCTAACGCTGCCCACTAGCTGGTGTAAACACAAACTCCGATCACAAAGGGCCACATTTACCATAAGGCAAGAGTAAATAGAGTGGCAGTAACATGTTTGCTCATTCATAAACAAAGATTACCAGTGAGTTTCATTGCTTGTGCAATGTGAGGTGTGGCTGCAACATTATCTCATTTGAATGTTGTGGTATTGATTCATAGCACAACACAATCCTGCAAAAAGTAATGCCTGAACTACGCTGAAGGACATTTTTCCATTAAAATGATCTTTTTTAAAATGTTTCCACACATGTTTGGTCCAACATACAACAGATCACACATACAGACACACATTTTTTTGCAGATGCATTTTTGGCAAAGTGGTGAGTCTCTCCCCATCCCAATCATGCATGATTGTGTCTCCTGTTTAAGTTCAGGGTTGGATGCAGGACATTTTGACTGGAGTGGCCAGGGTGTTAGCAAGACTTGAATGAATGCCAGGTCATCAAAATACAGTTTGACAACCATTTCATGATTCAGCCAAAGCCCAAATAAAGTATAACTCTGTTTCAATGCTCTAGTTACATCCACAGTCATTACTTTTATATTATTATTATTTTCCACATGTCACAGTGTAAACAGGGTTCATTTTTAAATGCATACTTTCAATCAGTAATAATGTTAGGATTGATCAATAGCCATAATTCAACCTATAATAAATTCCAGTCATGTTTAATATTTATTTGTTTTTAACATTCATGTGTTTATCATCTGTTATCAGTGTGTATGATTTTTCCATTTATGGTTTTCCAAATATTTTTCTTATGTGATGTTAATCAGACTCTCACTGCATTACAAACTCCAATTCCCAAGATCCCCCAGTTTATCATGTGACTCTGCCAGCCAATCATCCATCAACCAGCAGATCCCAGCCACCTGAGTACTGATTGTTTTCACCTGTTTGCCTGTGTATAAACGCTTTCACTCTTTAATTGAGAAGCATTGCCTCCTGTTTTGTCAGTGTGTACTGAGCTGCTCTTAAGCTTTTCTGTCTGTTCTGTTATGACTTTGTTTTGTCTCTCATTGTTGATTCTGAGATTTACCCATTTGGCTAAAATTACCTGTTTATAGGCTCTTTGGTTTAGACCCTCACTTGTTTATCTATTTTATATCTGCAAGCGTCTGGTTCGTCAACCCAGCATTACAGTTTACATGCAGATGAAATACAGGGTTCTACATAAATGAGAAACTAGTGGGTAAACTGACCCACTTTATTAAACCAGAGGCCAAAGAAAATGAATAAAAATATTTTTTTTTTGTTCCAGATGATAGTTTAAGCAGCAAATACAGTACTGAACTGGTTGTTTATTTGGTTGGTTATTTGGAGGCAGACTAATGTTAGCAAGGTGTCTACTACTGCTACCTACAGATGCAGTTCATCTTTTAACAGTTTGGCAGTTTTTCATTGGCATTTAGCTGGTTAAGTGCTAGATATATATTTGTATGGATGACTTCAAATACACAGGTATTAGACATTAAATCAGAAGTGTCCAGTCTTAACTTCAGAGTAGTTTATGTTTTGTTAACTAGTCACAAGAACACAGGTGTGGTTTCCAACAGACTGGCTGCAGTGTGTCTGGGGCTGCTGGGTGTTCTCCTGCTGACAGCCATCACAGTGCTGTTTATCAAGTTCAACAACCTGACTACAGAGAGAGACCAGTTACAGACCAGTTATTCCAACATGACTATAGAGAGAGACCAGTTACAGAGCATAAACACCAACCTGACTATAGAGAGAGACCAGTTACAGACCAGCCTGGCTAAAGAAAGAGGCCAGTTCCAAGCAGAGAGAGGCAGATTCCAGAGGATGCTTTCTGAACTGGGTAAGGTGTTAGTTTGTGAACTCCTGAATCCCCCAACCATCACATGGAATTCTTCAAATCCACCACCAGATTTCATTAAATGAATGATTTAATATTCAAACCAAGTTTTGGATGATAAGTACAAGTAACACTGGACTTTCTCAGGGAGAGAGTTGAAAATATATGCGTTAACACATTAACATACATAAAATGACTATTTATTATATTGAAGTCTGGACTCTGGGGTGGCCGGTCCATTGTTTTTTGAATATTGTTACTCTTTTTTGAACTTTGAAGCTTTGGACACTCTGAAGTTTTGGAAAATGAATAACTTGTACTTAATTTCTGCTTTAAGTGGAAATTAAATAAGTTCAGGAGATTCATCTAAAAAACATTTTACCATTTAATCATATGACATAATTCAGCTAAATATTCTCTTCTTACAAATCCAGAAAAACTGGTAGTTACATGTATAATCAGCCCAGTTGTTTACAGAATCAGGCCAATGGCCAGTTATAACACAGTCTCCATAACCGGTGGGTTCCCCATGTCCCCAAAACCTGAAAGACAGAATCAGAGTGTCTGTGTTTTAGCACACACACACACACACACACACACACACACACACACACACACACACACACATCTCCTAAGCCGTTTATCCTTCTCGGTTGCGGGTCTGTGTTTTATCAGAACAGTGAAAAGTAACTGTACCATGACCAGAGTTCAGTAAAGTGATTTCTTACCTAGAGGTCAGTCCTGAACCGTCCACCCATTTCCAGAGGCCCTCAGTTTCTCTGTCAGTCAGACCAATCCAAGCTTTCTGACCTCTTCTTAACATTTCAATAAAGTCCTGTTGAGGTGTGATAACTGCTTACACATAACCAGATACTCACAACACATTACAGCTTAGCTCACATTCAATGGCCAGTCACACTGTAAACGGTGGAACATGGCAAATGTGTATTAATATTTAATAAGAGCTTACAGTATTTAGTTTAGTTTTCTTTTCAACTAATATACCACCTAGTCAGCTCAGCTGTCAAGAGAAACAGTCAAGCAGCCTCACTAGGTGGGAGGCTGAATTACATTTTACCAATATAGATCACTTAAACATTGACTTTACATTTTGCTTCTATTTTATTGGTGAAATATATTTATTTTTTCTATTAATTCTTAAAGAAAACGTTTGGCAAAAACCATCAAATTAACATAATTTATCATTTACTCCAGATATAGTTAATCAGCCAAGACATATTTGGTATCTGAAGTTGCCTTTTTTAGTTTACAATGGGAGATGCTAGGCTAATGCTGCTAACCAACACTCGATTAGGATTTTCACCAAATTCATCTCCGTTAACACGTGCCCAAAAACAACCAAAGTGCATCCAGATCTTCATTTGTTTTGCGGACCTGTCGATGTTGTTTAGAACACAGCGTGACTTACTTCAGTCCATAATAGCAAAAATAAACTTCTTCGCATGCGTGAACAGTGGGCCGGCCATTGTGAGTAACCAGAACCACTGTCACCTCTGCACAATATGTGGTATTATTCCATGGAAGACAACCAAAGACGAGGCTGCGTGAATTCCTAAACAAACACACACCATAAGGTAACCTGGTAGAAAAGCTACGCTTTTCAACGAACTTCAAAAAGCTAATTTAAGCTAAAACTAGCTAAAACTGGAACGACTTTGTCCTCCACATAACACAACTTTGTAGTACTCCTAGTCAGTATGAAGGCATTACGTTTGTTTTTAGCATAGCTAAGCCTTCATAACTGTAAGAGTGAAGCATTCTCCAAGAGCAGCACAAGATTTTTTACAGCAAAGAAGAGGGATGTCCTGCAAAGGCCAAGACAGTCACCTGACCTTTAACCTGTTCAAAGTAATCTTGTTTTAAACACACACACGCGCGCACATACCTGTTCCTCTTTGCTGTGTATGATCACCAGGTCTGCCCTTCTCTCTCTGCAGTCCTGCCTGCTTCCATACCAGCTCTTCTTCTCAGTAGAGATGTAGTAAAGACTGGAGCTGAAGTAGATCCATCCTGGTTTGTTAAGCTCTTGCACTGTTCAGCCCAAATGACATGGGTTGTATCCATAAAAAACATCAGCACATCCATAACAATAATGAATTATGACTTAATCAAGTCAGACATAAAAAACTAACACCTTACCCAGTTCAGAAAGCATCCTCTGGAATCTGCCTCTCTCTGCTTGGAACTGGCCTCTTTCTTTAGCCAGGCTGGTCTGTAACTGGTCTCTCTCTATAGTCAGGTCGGTGTTTATGCTCTGTAACTGGTCTCTCTCTATAGTCATGTTGGAATAACTGGTCTGTAACTGGTATCTCTCTGTAGTCAGGTTGTTGAACTTGATAAACAGCACTGTGATGGCTGTCAGCAGGAGAACACCCAGCAGCCCCAGACACACTGCAGCCAGTCTGCTGCATCTACTTCCTTTATTGTTAGTCTCTATGGGGAAAGCACATAAGCTTTAGTCAGGAGATGAAAAGCGTCCTCTATTTTACTCCCTTCATGTCCCCAGTATGACTGCATGTTTGTTTGCTGTTAAAATTAGGTATGCTTACACCAAATATTTCCCATCCAATATAATATTAAGAATACCGCAGCATAATACTAAACTGAATATAAGTTAATAAGTACAATCTTGATATGAATTGATAATAATGCTGTTTGATGGGACTATTTACCCTATTTATAAAATAAGTGTGCAACCATGCCTTAATGTCAGATGTCATTTATCGTCATGACAGATTTTATAAAAGTGTGAACAAGGTTAAGACAGCTACCGGTAATTGTAATGACATATCATAATGTTTGATGTCATGATGGCTAACTAGAGCACACTAGAGCATGAGGCTGTTGTGTTGACAAACATGGTAACATGACTGTGTTATAGTACTGAACAAAAGCTGTCAAGTTAACTTGTGACAGACTATGATATTTGCAATGACATGCTTCTGACATGGTTATATCAATGTTATATAGGAGGGTTCAAGTAAAGTGTTGTCTGATTTTACTACCTGGATGTTGTATTTTCAGAATCCTCCTGGTGATGGTGTCCTCTGGTGTTTCTGTGCCAGGCTCATGGTTTCTAACCGCATCTAAACTCTCGTATATCGCCACCACCATCTCCACTTTATCCCCTCTTTGCAGCTCCTCAGTGCAAATCAAGTCATCATAAACATCCTGAGACATTTCTAATCTATTAAAACTCACCAAAACACAAATCACTGTGTTTCTGTAAGTAGGAACTCTATTGCACAGCTACACTTCTTAGCTTAGGTATGGTTTATTATAATTACTCTTCTGGTTCTAGTCAAGGAAGTGACAAAGTGTGTCAAAACAGCCTTCCTGTGTTTGATGAAGGTGAGAATACAGCACGGCCCCTGCTCTCACTGTCTTGTCGTTTGTTCTTAACCTCATACATTATTGCATTATATGTAAAATACTGTAAGGACATCTGAACAGCAATGTCCATACCTACAACCTAGGTGGATTATCAGAAATGAACAAACAGTGTTGTGTAAATCATTGTGTGGAGGTCACATGACTTTTTTTTTTTTTGTGGGTGGACGTCATACACAGTCTCATAGTTTTCTCTTAATTCCAAAATATAGTTTTAAAGACAATTAATACAAAAGCACGAGACAACTCTCTTTTATTACACTAGATTGAACTTTTGACCTTCACAAAGACCTTGTACTGAACATTAAACTGGAAGCATCGCAAGGCAACGTGGGTGAAAGCCTAACCACAAGTCTGAGTGAGCAGCTCTAAAACGAAACTTTATTTCAGTTACAGATTATGTCACAGCTGAGGTTCAGACAGGTGTAAGGGATCCGAAGCAGGGCTTCTTAAACAGGCTTACAAAACAGTCCGAAACTCAGGCAAAAAGGGTAAAAAACAAAGGCAGGGAAAGCTCTGTACACAGCAAGGGTGAACCAGCAATACTTCGCAAATTGGATTTCACTGATATTTAAAGGGATGCTGATGAGGGGGAAAGTTCTGAGGTTTACATACGGTGCCTCATCCAGTTAGTCATTGACTGCTGGAACCTCTGAAGGCTCTTCTGACAACTTGAAAAGGTGATACAGAGTGTTGATGATGATGATGTACACCATCAAAATGTGCAGAGGCAGAGGTGGGAGCAAGTCACTAAGTTGCAAGTAACACGTAAGTCTAAAGCCTCAAGTCAAGCCCCAAGTCAAGACAGTTGAGTCTCAATTCAAGTCCTGAGTCAGTACAGTCAAGTCTTGATTCATGTCCCAAGTCTCAAGTCGATGCCCAAGTCAATACAAGCAAGTCTTAAGTCAAGTCCTAATCTTCAAGTCCTCAAGGCCCTTTGAGTCAGTCTGCATTCTTCAGCAAATTAAGGCCATCTCAACACTGAACACCAAAAATGATGGTAACAGTATTACAGCCCATTTATGACGGCATGTTAGTAGTGTATGGCTGTATATTAAGGGTATTTTACCCTTCCAAATAACGTACAAAGTCCATGGTATACAGATAACCATAATAGGCATAATGCTACACACGATATACAAATAGTAGTACAACTACATATGGAAAAAAAAAAAAGTATTTTTGAACTTAATGGGAAAAAAATATATAGTTGAAGATATCATTTTGGATGATTTTTGATAGCATTGTGAGCACAGGATTAAAATTAAAACACCACTACAACTAGCTCAGCAAACTAAAAACAACAGCTAGTTTTATTTGATTTTAGACAACTGAAACCCAAACGACTGCACTGAACAAGGCTTACAGAAAAGATGTTGAAAGTTGTGGTGAAAGTTCCACCTTAACTGCTGCACCATTTAAGGTGGAATGGCAAATTTAAATGTGAAGCTGGCAAAATAAAAAAAGGACTTTTTTTCGCTAATATACCATTTTTTTCATATTATATACAATAAGGGATTATGCCCAAAATGTTTCACATTTTTGTAAGGGCCAGGACTGGAGATATACCTGTGCTGGCCACCAGAGGGTGGTGCAGGGCTGCTCCTAATCAGGGGAGATCCAGTACACCTGTGGGATGGCCTATTTAAGAGCAAGGCTCAGTTTCAACCTCGCTCAGTCTTTGTATGAAGTTCTTACAAACGACTTGGCTGGTCACGTCTCTTTTGACTCTCTAGCCTCTTGAGATCCATCCTGTTTCTTCTCGAGTTGCAACTCCTTACTCCTGCTAAAAAAAAACAAATCCGTATTAAAGGAAGTCTTCTGTTACGTTCTCACTATCTTTCGTTAAGTGTGAGATTAAAGAAATCTTTAAGTTAAGGAGCCTTCACTAAACTTTGTCAGTTTTTTAAAAATTTACATCTTACATATGTTTTTCTTCTGCTGGGTAGACATCATGAACCAGTTTAAATGACACTCCTTTAACTTTTAACTATTAGTAATTAGATATCGAATATATATAGAGATTTTCTGTATTATTCTGACACTTAAGCATTGAGATATAATGAGCCTTGTTAAGAGTTGGATAACTGTAGTGTTTCTGGGAGAATAGTGCTGAGTGATGGGGAGCAGATTAATAATTGTCCCTCTAGACTCAGTTAGAACTGCTGAATTTCACACTGTCTTTGTTGTTAAATGTTATATTTGTCAAGTGCAATGTCACTAATGCACTTTCAGTACAGAAACTAATGAAGTTTCATGTGTGAGACTGAGTTTGATTTCCCTCTGCTGACAAACATAAATAACTGCAGGATTTTGCTGATTGTAGCCAGTTAAAGGGCCCACATTTTCACTGTATCCCCCCCCCGCCCCCCCTCCCCGCCACAAGTATTAACAACAGCACATTTTTACATGAGCTTTTCCAACCTCTCTTTATTCCTTAGAATTAAACAGGCAGCATCTGTTACTGTGCTTTTAAGACTGATGTATATGATCTCAGTTCTGATTGGCTGTCCTGTATTGTGTCCCATTCAGAACTTCAAAATTAATAGGTGGGATTAAACTGAAGTGAATGGGCAGATTTATGTAAAAGCAGCCATTATAGATTGGTTGCCCCCTATTTATTTTGCAGCTCATTTTCCACATATGGTCTGTGGTGCTTTTGCAGCTTAGTTTCTGTAAGTGGTCTGGGGAGTAAACAGTGCATGTTGAAACTTTCACAATGTTTAAATACTACATCGAATAATTTTATTTTAAAGCGTTTAGTTTTCCACAATTTGTGCCTGTTAAATAATGTAAAGAGCCCACATCTTACGTTTTACCTTTATTTAGGTCCACTAAGGACATTTGTGTATGTACAAAAATAACTCCATCAAATAAACTTATAAACATAAATGTGGGATGGAATAAAAGTTTCTTTGCATTCAATATGAATGAATGCAACCATTGCCCACTCTCAACTAATCCAACCAATGGCCACTCTCATTTAATACAACTAATGCCTGCTTTCAATTAATTCAAACCAAAGCCCACTCTCAATTAATCCAACCAATGACCACTTTCAATTTATCCAACCAATGACCACTCTCAGTTAATCCAACCAATGACCACTTTCAATTTATCCAACCAATGACCACTCTCAGTTAATCCAACCAATGACCACTCTCAGTTAATCCAGCCAATGACCACTCTCAATTTATCCAACCAATGACCACTCTCAGTTAATCCAACCAATGACCACTCTCAATTTATCCAACCAATGACCACTCTCAGTTAATCCAACCAATGACCACTCTCAGTTAATCCAACCAATGACCACTCTCAATTAATCCAACCAATGACCACTCTCAGTTAATCCAACCAATGACCACTCTCAATTTATTTAACCTTATCTGTTTGTGTCTTGGTTGGCAGTTGATAAAAGGAGAACCACTGTGGGAGCACTGCGATTCTAGAGCGGCTTGTAACCAAAACATTCCCAGTCTCCAGTCACTGGTTTAGCTTTGCTTGGCTGTGGTGACAGCTGTTAACTGAGCATGTAGTCTCAGAACTTCTTAAAGACATTTAGACTAAAATAAAACATACTTAACAAGCTAGCACATATGCATATCTTAAAATACAGAGGTCATGTGAAAATATCACGGATAATTTATTAAATTTCACGCAACCTGCTCTTACATTTATACAGACTATGAAGACTGTAGTATAGACTGTAGTTATACAGACACTGTGGTTTTGCATGAACACTGTAAAACACAGAATAGAATAATTTTCTTCATAAGATGCACATACAGATCAGGACACATTCATAGCAGATTCTCTAATGCAAATGATCCTGTTTCACTTCCTCCTCGGCCTCCTGTCCACTTCTTTATCAGTGACCATAAAGCCTCCCACTCAGGACGGCTTTCTGTAGACAGAGAACATTCAAAACTCATTTGATTTGAACTTATCATTGGGTCACTGAAGAGAGCAGAATGACTGAGAATATTTATGAAAATTCAGGAATTACATATAACAGATTTGTGTCTGGCAGCTCTCATACTTCATGTGAAGACATTCATGGAAAAAAGAATGTCCAGGAGGTTGAAGGGACCAGACCAAACCAGAAACCAAGAAGCAAAGGTAAAGTACCTCACATACAAAGATACATATGCAAACCAGAGTTGTACCACTCAGCAGTTATACAAAGAAACCGTACTTTACATTTACAGTTACATCATTTAGCAGACGCTCTTATCCAGAGCGACTTACAAAAAGTGCTTTGTCTATCCAGAGAAAGAATCTTCGCTAGCTACCAATAGGTTAGAGAGAAAGTCAGTCCTAAGCTCAGATACTGCTAGAATCAGAAGGTCATTGACACCTAGTGAAAAAGGGACAGACTTAAACACAGAACAGTGCAATACAATACAATAAAATACATAAGTGCTGTACAATACATTACAATCAATACTTAATTTAGTGCTCATTTAAGTGCTGAATAAACAGGTGTGTCTTCAGTCTGTGTTTAAAGACAGCGAGAGACTCTGCTGTACGGACAGCCAGTGGGAGTTCGTTCCACCACCTGGGTGCCAGCACAGAGAACAGTCTAGATGCTTGCCTTCCACGCGCCTTGAAGGATGGCGGGTCAAGCCGAGCTGTACTCGAAGCTCGAAGGGCTCGTGGTACAGTTCGGGATTTGACCGTTGCCATCAAGTAGGGAGGGGCTGGTCCATTTTTGGCCTTGTAGGCAAGCATAAGGGTTTTAAATCTGATGCGTGCAGCTACAGGAAGCCAGTGAAGGGAGCGCAGCAGTGGGGTGACGTACTTTAGTGAAAGTATAGGTACTAAAATGGAAAAATCCAAAAAGTATCTACATTTAAAAATGCTCAACTATTTGAAAGTGAAGAGTAAAGGTTTGTTTAGTGGCTTGTGGTCCTTACCAGAGGTGTTAACTGGGTCTGTAAAGATCCGGGACACAGCCCAGTTCACTGTAGCGCTGTTTTAGGGTGTCCTCCCTCAGAGTTTCTTTTTAATTAACCTGTAACCTGCAATTTACACATCCACAAAAGTTGCAGGAATTCAGCATTGATCGTTGACGTGTCAATGATCATAAAACGTAAATGAAAAAAAGGGGAAAACACTGCTTGTGACGGATTTTAAAAAAAGAGGTGTCAAAAACAGGTTTCCCAGTAATGCCATTACTAAAATTATCTTTCTCCACATCAACCATCTCTTCTACACATCTCCTATCTGATGTCCTGCTAATAGTAAAACGGTTTACTTTCAGTTCTTTTACAGAGACCCACTGGTGACTTCCTATATAAATAAAAATAATATGTGGCCACGACTTTGTAAGGTGTGGGAAGGAGATCCTAATGCATGTCCATGACTTAGTAAGGTATGATCTTGTTCTCAAGTCGTAGCCACAACCTAATAATGTCATTCCCACGGCTTACCAAGTCATGGCCCGCATTAGGATCTTGTTCCCACCCATTAATAAGGCATTGTTCCGCATTATTTTTCTTTATATGTGGGATGTCACCAGGACTTTAAAAGTTCTTCTTTAAACCCACTTTTCATGACGATGCTGACATTCAGCTATGTTTCTCTAGTTTGGTATTTGTTCTTGGGTAAGAACAGAATCCACACACACATTTAAGAACATGTCACAAATCTGGAGTAGACTTTTTCTTAGGACTTTTCTCAAGAACAAACTTAAGAAAAAACTTAAAGATATTGGTGAATGAGGCTCATTATTTTAAATATAAAAAGCACAATAAAAAAAATAAAAATAAAAAACATCCAGGTAATTTTGTGTGTCTTGATTAACATTTTAGGGGTCTTCCCACTCAAACCCAGTAAATATACGGCATAAAGCATGATTTTGCACTACAAAATTGGGCTTGTTTTTTAACGAGTGCATTTTACATAGTAGATTTGCTTTTTTACTGAAATTTCCTGATGTGTAACAGAGTCAGGGTAACGTGTGAAATCTTGAGGTTATGAGGTTCGGGGCTGGTTAACAGTCTCCAGGCTATTCACCTTATTCCTGCTCCCCATGAGTGATTTATGGATAGAAAGTCTGGCAAAGCGTGAACAGACAATATGTTAAATGCTTATAACATCCTAACATGTTGGGAAATGTGGTACTAAATACATAAATAATCTTTAGTGTTGGGATGCTTGTGTGCTGATGTGTGTAACTGAGCTGTCCACAGAAATCTGAACCGGTGAGAAAGAAACACTTGAGTCCAAATATCCTATTCATAGCCTGCACCAATTACTCATCCTAATAAAATCATTTCATTTCAACTTTTTCCGCTGTGTTTACACTGAGAGTCAGGTACAGGCATATTATTGTAGCGTTAGCCTGTTAGCCTGTTCCCTCTCTGCTGACCTGCTCAGCCAGCTCTAGGAGGGCAGAATATATCCATGTATAAAGAGAATATGGGGTGTAAACCAGAAAAAGTAAGTCTGTTAGCAGCAGCCAGTGATGTTAAATTGGCAGTTCATCATCTGCATCTGGTTGTATTTTATGAGCCCAGATTTCTATGCTAACTGTGCCTTTTGAACAAATCATAATAAAGCCACATTCACATGCCTGCTGAAGCTTTGCTGCTCTTGCTGTAATTTCATCTTTATCTGGCTGTAGTGATGGGCAGAAACTGCATGTTCAACCAGAAATGCCTCAGAACACGTAAAGAGTAAAAGGTAACTGAGCGGAAATAAAAGTATTCACCCCCCTGAAGAGGAGATGTGTAAGATCTCAGTTAATGTGTGAAAGAGTGCATAACCGAAACTAGACAAGAGCATTTCCAGAAGAAACCAAACATTTTGTTGCTATAAAAGCTAGCATAAGAGTCACAGCCAGTCAACGCTGAAGCAGCCAGCCAACATGGGACTCCCTAAATACTAGAGGGTGTTTCTCATACTGATGGCACCCAATACTTGGACATCTAATCATCTGAATCATCTGGATGTACTTTTTCATCTGTTAGGACCATTTTGTTGTGCCTTTTGAAGGACATTTTGAATTACTGACTGAATATCAATGTTTAATTTAAATGTTTTATTGCTCAATCATAGAAATAGATACTTTGGAGTCTGATGTAGACCTTAGCTGACTAGCTCTTCCCTAATGTTGCCATTGTTTGCTAGAAAGGTTTACTGATCTTTGGAGGTGAAATTAAGTTACATTTTTTTGTCCAGTGGTATTCTGAACTTTTAAATAGCAACTGTGGTTAGTGGCACATTAACTGATGAGTAACAACTGTCCCCAATTAAGGCCTTAACCTTAAGTTAAACACTACAAAAAGATCACAAGTACTTTTAGCTGATTAAATTGTTAAATGTGATTCAAATCTGAACATCACTGAAAGATGTCACAGTCTGTATCTTGACCTACTCGCTGTTTAAACTTTGCAGCTGCAATCTGCCTGGGGCTGCTGTGTGTTCTCCTTCTGGGCGGCATTGCGTTCTTATGGCTCAAGTTAATTCAGCAGAGAGATGCTCTTTCCTACTTGGGTAAGCAGACACATTGTCTGTTAAGGCTTGATTCAGTGGAGATGTAAGCAAACTGCTTTAGAATGGTTTCATGTGAAATGGTGGACTGTAGAAAAATATACTGACTCAGATTTTGATGTCTACAACACATATAGTACATTTCATTTACTGTCCAAAATGACCAGTAACCTACATGAGTTTTTATATGTAATGTTGATAGTAGTAAAATAGTGGTAAATCTGAAAATATAGGTTTTCTTTGGCCTTTAGTCTGCATGTGCCTCTCCACCATGAAGGTATTTAAAAAAATGTGCCTTAGGGCAAAATGTTCTCAAAACTATCATAAAACAAAAACTCAGGCAACATAATTGTAACTATTTCAATTAATAGCTTTCCATGACAAAGCTTTTAGAAGCATTAAACTCTTCAAACATTCGGTTCCTATCATGACCACTGTGAACAATTCTGACTGTCTGTTTTTCCAGATCAGAGCATTTCATATCAAACCACTCTGAATAACTTTGTTTACAAATAAATGATTTAATTATTCAGAAATATTGCAAAGTCTGTGGAAAGTCTTCCTCTCTAAAGAAATTGTATTGATGCTGCTACATTATTTTAGTATGTAACATGAAGCCACGTGTACACGGCGTTCTAAGAGTGGATAAGAGTGTTTTCTTTTACGTAAACAGATAAAGGGTGGAAGTATTCAAACTCCAGAATTTACCATGTCTCTACTGAGAAGATGACCTGGGATGAGGGAAGAAAAGCCTGTAAAGAAAAAGAAGCAGACCTGGTGATCATAAACAGCAGAGAGGAACAGGTTTGGGGGGGGCGGGATTTAAAAACTTGTAGATTTCAGAAAGATCACGATGAGCAAATGAAGAAATGTTTATATCTGTGCAGATACTGGTTACTGGTTTGACCAAAAATCAAAATGCTTGGATCGGTCTGACTGATGGGGACTCAGAGGGGGTCTGGAAATGGGTGGATGACTCAGCACTGACCACTGGGTAAGAACTGAACAGTGGTCACAATTAAGTTATTCCTCACTGCTCTGATAAACACAGTGGATTCTCTGATTCTCTCTTTCAGGTTCTGGAGAAGTGGGGAGCCCAACAGTTATGCTGGAGATGAGGACTGTGTCGTAACTGGCTATGGGTCCGATCCTGTAAATAACTGGGCTGATTATCCCTGTAGTGACCGTTTTATCTGGGTCTGTGAGAGACCTTTTGACTCAGGTACTGGAATAGGATGGCCAAAAGCAACATGAATTCCATATGCACGTTTCTTTTATTAGAGTCGTTTATCTGCTAAATTTCTGTTAAGAAATATTCTTTGGCTTTACGTTTTAGGAGAGACTGATTGGTATATCAAGATAGGCTACATGTAATTAAACATATTAAAGCTTTGCAAAAAATCTGAAACCTGACAAAAAAACACTATTTCTGCTTTCATTATATTCCATTTTGTCACTACCAAAACAACAATGACTCAAACTTTACTAAATGTTTCAGTGTGACTGTTTTGGTTGGGACAGTTTTAGCTAATTTTGAGCAGAACTCAAAAACACTAGATAGTACATCACTATCAAACACAGCTCTCAACAGTTGCACACACATAAAATCATAATATTTCATTAAAACACAAAAAAATGTACTTAATTGCAGAAAATCAGTGTCAATAGTGACAATTCTCGATGTTCCACACTGATTTTCAGGCTGTGGGACACAATTGTTTCAAAACAATGGGATCTAACATGTGGTCATGAGGGACAGGGATGCAGTCTCACTTCCTGCTCTAAAATTCAGGGGTGTGGCTAAAATAAGGCTCTGCCTACAGACTAAAAGTCTTTGTGTTTTGGTAGTAACATGAAAACATGGTACAGCATTTTGTGAACAAAGTAAAGTAATATTGCATATATATATATATATATATTATATATATATATATATATATATATATATGTAACACTTCAAACTTTATCCAATAAAACTAATAACTAATAAAAAAACAAATGTAAAAAGGGTTAATAAAAAGGCACCAGTCTCTTGCATACACACACATACACACACACACACACACACACACACGCACACCGCACACACAACAGATGGAAAGCTACAACCCAGTAATTGAGTATTAAGACAAAACAGTCAAACATTATTGCAAGTGATTACATAAGAGTAAAAAGGTGGGCATAAAATCACACAATGAAACCAAACTGTGTGTTCTAGTAAATTCTGGTCAGAAACTGTGTCTGTGTAGAAGCAAGTAAGCAAGTAAAACGTATTTATAAAGCACATTCAAAGTAACAACAACAGTTGACAAAGTGCTATGCATAAATATGAACATCTAAATATTAGGACAGGACAAAAACCAACAAATGAATACAAATAAAAAGGGTAAGTAATGAACGAAATAAACAGTAACAAAACTAAAACATTTTGACCTAAAGACAGTAACAGATAAGACACTGTTCCATGACCTTAGAAAAGCCATGAGGAACAGCCAAGTCTACAGATCTCAGAGTGGTCTAGGGCTTTAGCTCATAAAGAGCTTTAAAAACTATTAAAAATCTAAACTGTTTCCTGTAATGGACAGCAAGGCTAAAACTGGGCCAGTGTGGTCTCTTCTCTTGCTGCCTGTAAACATTTAAGTAGACACATTCTGTACTAATTGAACAGAAGTTGGTGCAGATGTGGAGCAACAGCGAATGCAGGTTTGATATAAGCCAGAAATGCTCCTATATTTAAAGTCTTATCTGGGCTGTACGCCTGTCCTGCCATGCGCTTGACTGCTCTAGTGAACTGATAAACAAGTTGGGGTTTTTAGCTGTAGGTTCTGCTGTAAACCTGGATAGGTTGATTGTACTTAAAGAGTTTAAGGCCAGTAATTGCCTTAAAATATTTAAGTAATGCATACTAAAGAAAATAAAATTGTACAGAAAATGTGCTGTAAAATCAAACCTACTAACCAATTCATTGAATTCAACATTTACATTTTTTGTACTCAAATTTTGAAGTTGTGAAAACTTCAATAATACAATAACGTCACAAATATGTTCCCCATTTTAAAACCTTGAGCTGTAGATGGTTTTACCATCACAAGTGAACACAAATGAAGTGCAGTGCATTTTTCTTTGATTTTATTTAAAATTACATACACAGCAACAAGGGTTTTATTTTCAACTAAACTATAACCAGACCTGACAGCCAATCTCTGAAAATAACCGAACTGACCAAAAACATCAGTAAGAACTGGTGTTTACATTTCCTAGTACATTCTGTAGTAACAATACATGTCTCAAATCATTCAACATGAAGCCATTTTCTTTCTAGGTGACATATTTTGGTCAATACAAGCCTGGATTGAGCTGCAAAATACAGTAAGTGCAATGTTTGGTAAAAACCCATATTTAACAACACTGAAAACATACTTGCAGCAGAACTTTATCACTGATTGTTCCATCAATGAGGTCTAACTGTGCCACACAACAACACAGGCACTTTACATTAGGAGCAGTTGCGCAGTGATCATAAGTGTGTCCCACCCTGCAAGGTCATTCTTCAGCTTTTGAAGTTTGGCTGATAGCTATTTTTGTGCTGAGGAGGGAACAATCAACAGCTTGTTTGTTTGTTTGTTTATTTATTTATTTATTTATTTGTACCTTTTTTACTTTTGATGCCTTTAATGTCCTTAAAATTGTGGCTAGATTTTTTTACCATATTTTAGTTCTTTTTTAATGTATATGTTTATTTGGAAATGGCTCTTTGGTTTCACAGAAGTACACTGACAAAATGTATTAATCCTACCTCGATATAAACAGCTTAACTTAGCCTACTTGTCATTCATCCTTTTAGCCATGTGTTTTCATCTTGTCTTCCTCATACTGGTTCCTCAGTCATCCAGACTAAAACATTTCCAACTCTTATCTTCAGACTGATGGAGAATGTGCAGTAGATGGTTCTTTTTGAAAAGTTTTCTATATAGCAGCAAAAACGGTTCTTCTGTTGGTAAAAGCTTGACATCATAAAAGTAGAAGCACTTTTCAGTGCTATTTAGAACCCCTTTTCAAAAGTTTCTATGTAGAACCATCTACTGCACATTCTCCATCAATCTGAAGAATGCTTTCACAATGCAAAGAACCTACAACTCTATCTATCTATCTATCTATCTATCTATCTATCTATCTATCTATCTATCTATCTATATACAACTATACAACTCTCTATCATAGAGGCATAGAGGCTGCATCAGTGTAACAAATCTGGGAGTACCTAAAGTGCTGTTTGTACCCTGCTGTCATTTTTTGCAGACAGACATAATTTCTAATGGACCCTCTAGCTGCAACAATCTGTGTAATCTGACCAAACTCAGGAACACCTGATCATGATCCAATACAGAGAATCATATCTGCACTGTACTTGATTCCTTTGATGCAGACAGATGACGCAACTAGAACTGACCCAGGCCTGCTAATGGATTGAGCACTCTGGGAAAAGAGGAGAGCAAAACCATTGCAACCTTTGTCATCTCAACTGCTGGCCTGAAAATGAGCTGCAGTCCAAATGGTAACTGATTGCTTTCTAGTGTTTAGTTGCAAGTGTCATGGCCACGCTTTTAAAATCCTGGGAATCATGAATAGCTTTTTTGAAGAATTGATGCTTGCCCTCGAAGCACATAGTCCACATCAGTCAAAGGTCCGTATTTCTTCATAAGGTGAGGATAGTGTTCCACATAGTGATGTTTTGGTTGTAGAAGGAAACTTGGAAAGGTTGAGTGTAGCAGTTCTCTGTGCTCTGCAGTCCAGTTAATGTTTAGGTGCCACAACAAGCTCCACAGTATCTTTGAGACGCATGAGAATTTCCCAAGTATTGGTATTGACCAATGAAAAATGGAAGCAGTCCATTGACGGACCAGTTCTCATGGCCATTTCCACCAATAGTCCCTTTGGAGGAGGATTCTTTTCCAGTTGTCTGAGGCTGGTCAGATTTGTCAGTGGATATGTAATTAAAGGATTTGATGACCATGTTCTATCTAAAATGTCAGTTTCGTTCAGTAATTTCTGGAGCGTGTGCTGTATAGGAACATGTACAACTGGCTTCTTGCCTTTTTCAACAACAGACTCTATGGGCACTACCAAAAGAAACTCTGCACATAGGCTGCTCTCCTTTTGGCTTTATATGAAGATCCACCTTTGCCAAAAAATGATCTCATCACAGTATATATTAGCATAATATTTCTGAACACATTAGCATAATATTTCTGAAGTGCTGACTTTCTGGTGAAGGAGTGGTTACGGGGCCATTTATTTGTATATTTCTGTCTGCCCTGTGATGGACTGGTGACCTGTCCAAGATGTATCCTGCCTTCCACCCAATGACTGCTGGGATAGGCTCCAGCTCACCCCATGCAGGATAAGCGGTTTAGAAGTTGTGTTTGTGTGTGTGTGTGTGTGTGTGGGTGTTTGTGTGTGTGATAACAGGTTGGTTTCCCTGTGGTTGGAGAGCTTGTTGTTTCTCATTTTCACCATCAGATGGCGGTGTTTCTTAGGGTCATTTCCTCTATTCTTTTGTTTATAATGAATAGTTATAAGAATGGATGATGAAGTGAAAACAAGTTTTCTCTCCTCTCGTCTGAGAAAATTACATGCCGAATTATTTAGTTTTTCACTGAACTCATCGCTGCTGTGGGAATTTTAGTCCCATCTGTGTTTTTCCAGGCAAAAACATTGGAAAAAAAAGTTTTTGGCCGTTTAAACGCGCCGTATTTAGTCTCACTGCGCTTCTTCGATCTGGGTAGTATGTAGACGAGGATCTCTGATGGTAAAAGTAAGCCTTGTTTTAAGTTGCATTTGTCGTTTAACGTTGATGATGGATTAAATAATCCCTCAACATTGAACAGATCGATGTGGAAATTCTGACACTGAATTAATGTGGATAAAAGGATGATTTATGGTTGAAGTGAGAGACTTTGTGTTGGTAAGGTGGTGGCATAGAAAAAATGCATCTGAAAAGGATAGGTAGCATAAAGTTTATGTAGCCTTTTGTTTAAAACTTGTTTAACATCTACATATTTTATATATATATATATATATATATATATATATATTATATATATATATATATATGGTACATTATGTCTTCTTTATGTTCGTGTCCGTGGCAGACATGACCCAGTGCACAGCATGATGACACAACATGTTGCAAACTCATATAAACGATGCAAATATAGAAAA